GAGAGAGAGAGAGAGAGAGAGAGAGAGAGAGAGAGAGAGAGAGAAACAAAAAAAAAAAAGAAAGAAAGAAAAACATCCAAGGAAGTGCACTTCAGGCCCCCCGCGTGCCACCCTGTTGTTTTGAGCATGAAAGAGGCAGCCGGTCGCTACGACACAGAGGTCAAACAGCAAGGCAGCGGGCACGAACCCGGCAGCCCCCACTTGCGCGCCTTCGCCATTCTTCTCGAGCCCTTGGCCCAAACCAACGTGGAAGGCAAGCCAGAATATATCGCCATGTTGTTCAGGGCCGTCAAGCGCCTTTTCCAAGCAACGCGTGGACGAGAGCAGACCATCGGAACTAGAGGGTTCCGTGCACAGCTGTCGGGTCAACGACTACCATGCGAAGAAGGGCGCGCAGCCCATGAGCAGGATCAACTTCTCGGTCGAGGGGCATTGGCCAGCGGGGCAGACGATCGCGCAGGAGGACGAGCTGGACATGATCGAGTCTCATCCTCAGGAGTTCGATTGCAATTACAAGTGTGTGCTCATGGCCGTGGCCAGGCCCCTCCCGCTGGCCATGGGGGCCGCTGGCATGGCCAAGATGCCAGGCAAAGCGCCCGCGGGCGGTCTGGCGCACTCTCTTCGGGGCAAACAGGCGCAACGGAGCAAAGAGCAGCAAGAAACGAGCAAGCGAGCGCAACGAGGCAAGCTGCAGCAAGAAACGACCCAGACGTGAGTAGGCCCGGCATGTCAGAGCGTCGGGTAGGTAGCGGAGAGCGAGGCCCGAGCCCACTACACAGTTTCGGTTCCGGGCACGCAGAGGCGCGAGGTAGGAACAGGCAGCGTAGCAGGGCCAGCAGGGGACCCATTCTTCCTCCTTCGCCCCCTCCTGGGCCTCCCTCCTCCCTTCGCTCTCAGAATGTGACTCTGCCGTGGGAACAACGCTTGAAAGTACTTCATCTGAGAATTCTGGACAAGGTGACCAGGGGCCCCATGTAAGGGTCAAAGCACCCCCGTGCCCAGTCAGCCTTGCCAGCGCCAAGTCGGTGCATGGCGCAGGGCTGGCATTGGCCTGGCGCCCCCAGTTGCGTGTCACACGGTCCGTTGGCACAACATCCTCGGTGAATGTGCGGTTGTTCACACCAGGCTCTGCGGTGCGTGGGCGGACGTCAGATAAAACCCGGCATCGATGCAGCTTCAGTCAGTCAGTCAGTCTCTTCCTCCCTCCCTCTCTCCTCCTCCTCCTCCTCCTCCTCCTCCTCCTCCTCCTCCTCCTCCTCCTCCTCCCCCTCCTCCTCCTCCTCCTCTTCGTCCCTCCCTCCCTCCCTTCCCCCCTACCTCCCTCCCTCCATCCATCCAGCCTCCTCCTGCTCCTCCTCTTCCTTCTTTTCTGTTTTCCTCCTCCTCCTCCTTCTCTTCCTCCTCCTCCTCCTCATCAGATTCCTCCCCCTGCTCCTCTTATTCCTCCTCCTCCTCCTCCTCCTCCTCCTCCTCCTCCTCCCCTCCTCCTCCTCCTCCTCCTCCTCCTCCTCCCCCTCTCTCCGTAGCCATTGGGCTCAAGCGGAGGCGCTCCTGGGAGCGCTGCGGCTGCGCCGTGCCCCGCGTGCGCGCGCGGTCATCACCCGACGGTGCGATGGGGCGCGGCGGGCGCGGCGGCCTCTCGGTCCGCCATGGCGCCGCGCTCGTCACGGGCGCATCGGTCGGCGAGGCCGCCGAGCTCCTGCTGCTCGTGCAGGCGGGGGGCTCAGAGGCGGCGGCGGCGCCAGCGGACGGCGTGGCAGGGGCGGCGACGGCGGCTGCTCCTTGCCGCTCGGCGCTCGGCGCCCGCGCCCAGGCGGCGCCCAGAGCCTGCGCGGGGGCGGCAGCAGCCGGCGTGGCGGAGGCTGCGGCTGTGGCGCAGGCTGCGGCCCGGCCCGACTTGGGCGGCCGCGCGCAGCAGTTGTTGGGAGCGGCGGCGGAGGTCGTGGCCATCTTCGGGGGCGCCACTTTGGCGGCGGGCCTGTCCCGCCTTCGGCGGCAGGGGAGGCGGCTTCCTTCCGACATCGAGCGCGGCTGCCGTGCGCTCGATGCGGCGGGGGCCCTCTTGCGCCACCCTGGCGCAGGGGAGGCGGTCCTCGCGGAGGCGCGCGCCTGGCTGCAGGGAGTAGCCGCGCCCAAGCTCAAGGCCTCGGATGTTGCCCAGAACATCGGCTGCGAGCAGGAGGGCGGGAACTTCTCCGAGGGGGCCGAAGCCACGTGCGCCGAGGAGTCTGTCGGCCTGGCCTCGTCTGTGGGGAGGTCGCAGGTCTGGAGCAGCGACGTGGAGGACCCGCACCAGGAGAAGGGGCTGGAGCTGACCGATTGCGACGCGGAGCTCGGCGAGCAGTTCGCGGATCACTCGGTCGATCACGACGCGGAGGCCCAGGAGAGCTTCGACGAGAAAGAGCCAGGGCGTGAAGGAGGACGCTGACTTGGACTTTGGGGGCGTGGACGCGGACTCGCTGCAGGGGTCGCTCGTGGAGCCCTGGGCGCACATTGACGCCTTCTGCAAGCTCGAGGCCGAGCTTGCGACGAAGCGCAAGCTGCTGGACGAGATGGCTGTGGTGGTCATGGAGTTCCGCAGCACCTCGGGGCACCTCAAGTCCCAGA